GGTAGAGATAAACCAGGGAGCTTCTGCAGGGGCTGACCTCCCAGCCTCCGGGGTAGGGTCCTCCTTTTCTTCTCTGCCATCGGTGCTCAGAGCCTATCTAGGGAATTTAAATGAGTAGGAACTGGCTGGCTGTGTGTGGGAAGGCCCACGATGAACCTGGGCCAGCGAACCTTGGAGAACAGCCAACTGGAGGAAAGGAGCATGGGACATGGAAGGAGGGACTCCTGCTGCTCCCTCCAAGTCTGCTGTAGCTGCAGGCTCATGTCTGTCCCCATCCCCAGCAGGCATCACCACCATCCTCACCACCTCTGACACTGGCGGGTTCTCTCAAGAACCTTATCTTCCTCTGTTCTCCCAAACCCAGGCAGATTAATTATTCTCCCAGCACAGATGTGGAGCCCAGGCTCAGAGGTGAGGTAACTTGGCCTAGGACACACAGCAAAGGTGTGTGAAGTGAAATCAGATTGGTCTGCCCCCAAAGCCTCAGTTCTTTGACAAGCCTGAGCCTGTCTGGAAAAGGAGGCCAAGGCAGGGACTGGATGGGACAACTTCTCATGCTCTTTCCTCAAAGCTTCAGAGGTCTGGGACTTTGTGTTCTAACTTTGGCTAAGAAGATGCCAGTGAAGTTGGCAAGTTATCCCTCGGTCCACTGATCAGTGTGGATTTTCAAGGCCTGGAAAACCTGTTCGGCCCTTTCTGGCTTTCCTCCTACAGACACTAGGCAGCCCTGCACCCTCCCACTTCCCTTAACCTTGGGAGGGAAGGACACTGGCAGAGGGGCTCCTTGGTCTCATGAAGCCACACTGCAGAGCTATGACCTTTTCCCCCAGTCCCTGAGTTTGCTCATGGCTTACCCATGCACAGCAGTGGCCTTGGGGATCAGCCAGCCCTACTTTGATGCTTGCCGACCCTGGGTCAAGTCTTGGGCGCTCTGTCCATCCCATTAGGGAAGGAGATCTCTTTCCCTTCTCCCACCTGTGAAGTGGGACCAAGCCTACCCCAGCTTCCTCGCCTTCCAGGGCTGCTAGAGGTGCCCAGAATAGGTGGGATGCAAAGGGTTCTGCAGATAAAAGGGTGGAGGCAGAGAATTATGTTTACAAAAAGAAACTGGACTGGATAATAAACTCCTGCCTCTATTTCCCTCACTCCACCCCCAGCTCTCCTAGGGGCATGCAGAGTCTGGCTCATGAAGGAGTTCAAGGAGAAGGGACTTGTTGGAGGCCATACATCATGTCACGCCTACGTGTAAAGTCATGTCTGACCGACTCCTCCCCTGTACCCCTACAAACAAGATGGAAGGCATTGGAAACAAAACCAAGGCCAGAGGGGAAGCTGATTGCTTAAGGGGGGCAGGAAATGGCTGTTGGGTTTCTAAGGTCCTGCTCCCAGCTCCTCCTGGGGTCACTCCTTCTGGGGACCCTCAAGGCCAAGGCCTGTTCCCCAGGCCTGCCATCCACACGCCCTCTGTGTTATATCTGGACTGCTGAACCCATGGACTGGGGACTGTAAATATGGCATAGCCTCTTATGCCTTTGTGTCCCCAAAATGTCTTGTGTGGGAAGCAAGTGAAGTCTTTCTAGATGGCCCTGGCCTTGGGACAATTCCTTACTTGTTTCAAAATCTCTTTCCAGCTATGGCTGCATTTAAATAAATATATACCCAGTGATACCACTCTTCTCAATTCATAAGGAAATCCAGAGAGGCCAAGCAATTGGACTGAGGTCACCCACAAAGGAGTGGCTGAGCTAACATGAGAATCCATACTCCCTGGGGCTCCAGATGGGAACCAGAGTGGGTAAGAGCAGAATCACAGAGAAGAAGAGGGACTTCAAATTGCGGGCCTTCAGGAAACACCAAACACCTCAGTTTCCTCATCTGCAAAATGAAAGTGAGGAGGGGGGCCCCCAGCATCTCCAAGGTCTTTCTTTCCCTTGTTTCTCAGTGCCTGGTAAGTAGCAGGAGAACCAACTCCACCCCCCCCCCCAGAGGCAGCTTTAGTCCCAAGGAGAAGAGGCCTCTTGAACCAAGGCCAGGGGCAGACTGCAGGTGTTCTGTGCCAGGGATTTCTGGACTGTGCCAAATGAACTTGAATCTTCAACTCCAGACTTTAAGAGGTCAGGCCAGGAAGAAATTTATGGGGCAGGAAAAAAAGCCTAGCTAGGGAAGGCAGAGAGCCCTGCACTCCCAACTCTGCTGCTAACAGCCGTGTGGCCTTGAGGCTGCCTCTGTGCACCTCAGTGTCCCTTCCCTCTGATGAAAGAGTATGCAAAAGAGCTTTCCCAGCACCCGCTCCCTCAGAGGCACAGACAGGAAGAGATGTTTTTCAACAAGTTAGGTAAAATGTTGCATGCATATGACTTCGATTCTGCAGAGGAGAGGCACGGACTGAGGAAAGAGCCACCAAGAAGGGGCTGGCTGCCCTGAGGCTCAGGCCAGCCTGGGCTGTGAGAGGCCCAGAGACCAGTGAGGTCCCTGCCACCTGCCACTGGAGGTGTCCAGGCAGGCACTGGAGGGCACCTAGCAGGGACTCTGGTCCTGGCAAGAGCTCTGGGGTTCTCTCTGGTTAGGAGGTTCTAGAACTCAGTATTTCTAAAACTCTCTCTCTCCTGAGGCTTCCCTCACCCCTCAAATAGTGTTGAATCCTCTGGCCTCCCCTTCCACAGAAAGTGGAGTCATGAACCATCTCTTGGGGGATGTCTAGCAGAAAGGACTTGCTTCTAGCTTCTACCACTTAATTGAGCAAGTAACTTAATGTCCAGACATCTCAGTTGCCTACTTCTAAAATGGAGTTATTAAGCTTTGCTGGATGGGCTAATGCAGCATGTAGCATAAAATGGCACCTAGCTGCAGCTGCCTGGGAAGGGTATCAAACAGGTTGATTTTGCAAACACCAGTAAGACAGCCCAGAACAGTTCAATGGAGCAAGGAGGGGACCTAGGAGAAAGGCACTGTTGATGTCCATTAGAGTTTATGGGAGACTAGAGAGACCCCCAAGAAACTAAGTTGTCAGTGGGAGGCTTCTGTACAGCCACGCAAACTTTGGTTCATGGGCATGATGCCCGTGGTGTACCCTACAGCATGTAGGGGAGCTGTTGTCTGGGAGTGGATGTGGGTGGGCATGTCACCAGTCACTTCTGCTGAAGCCATTTGACGAAGATGCTAGGTCAGTTATTAGCATGTGGCTATGTGGACATAGCCATAGGTTTTCAGGCATCAGGGCTGTAGAAGCTTTGAGGTTTGGCTCTATCCTCTTATTTCATGAAGAGAAAGACTGAGGCCTATAGGGGGGTACTGAGGGCAAAACCTGGAGGTTCCCAATCATCCTTACTCCCTATCCCTCCACTGGGCAATACTTCCCAGGGACCACTCACCCACTGGGACACCTACCTACTGCATCCGGCTCCGGCTCAGTGCCCAGGTACCGCCCTTGGGACCGTGAATCCACCAGCTGGAACCTCTTTGATTCCAGGTTCTCCAGCACCTGCTCATAGGTCTTGAGCAGAGAGCGGTCTAGTGTGGCTTTGAAGATGGCCTGCTCTGGGTGTGAGGGCTCGGATGTCACGGGGTGACCCTCCTTCAGCCAGTTCCGGAAGCCACCATTGAGCACTGACACTGTGCGGTGGCCAAACACACGGAACATCCACCAGACCCGCGGAGCATAGAAGCTACCCAGGTTGTCACCATCATAGACCACCACGTGCGTCTGGTTGCTTATGCCCAAGCGGCCCACGTAGTTGGCAAAGCTCGCCTCGCTGGGCAACATCATCTCATAGGGCGACGCTGTGTCCCGGCATTCCTCTATATCAAAGAAAGAGGCCCCGGGCACATGGCGCTCCTGGTACTCCTTGCGGGCATCACGGGTGCCCGGCGAGTACCAGGATGCGTCCAGCACCCGCAGGCCAGGGCCCAGCTTGCCAGTTCGGACCGAATCCGCCAGCCACTTGGTGGAGACCAGCGCCCGGTAGAGCACCTGATGAACCATGGTTTCAGTTCTGCGTGTCACCTGGTGCGGGGGGGAACCAGGAAAGAGAGACGAGCGTGAGGAAGGCTGCGTGTGTCGTGAGTTGGGGCCTGGGAAGAGGAGTTCTTTCTCCTACCACACTCCCCCAGGGTGTCGTGTTTATAGCCACCCAGCGGGTCAGGGGCGTGTAGTTCTCAGATTCCCCAAGGAAAACCGGCCCCGCCCCTCCCGGGGTCCCAGCGCGGAGAGGGCGGGGCAGGAGTGCCCGAAGGCTGCAGCTGGAGGGGCCCAGACCGTAGGGAGTCCTGGCTCGGTTAGCTACAACACTTGATTCTGCCGGGAAAGAGCAGAGAAAACATGCCCAGGGGGTGGGAAAACGCATCCTGCACTCGGAATCCCTTCTTCTGGTAATGCAGAAGGGTGGGCGCATAGGGGTAAGCGCGGCTGGAGCTCCTCGCCCCCAAAGCAACATCGCCTGCGGCCTCTCTCTGCAGCCCAGGTCGCCCACCTCCAGAATGCCTGAGTCTAGCCCCTAGCTTGGTGCTCTCTGCCCTAGTTGGGCCAGGTCACCCCGCCCCGCTCTCGCCACCGGGATCCTTCTCTGGGCCGCAGGTAGCCCGGCTGGTAGCCCAATCCCCTGAGGCCCTGGCGCCTGGCCGCCGCCTCCGCCCCGCCGCACTCACTAGTCCTGGCAGCAGCTCTGGCTCTCGCCCGGGCCGGCTGGAGAACTTGGCGGGTTCAAAACCAAGGCTCTCGGCTCCCCAGCCGGCCCGCACCATTTCGCCGCAGTTCGAGGGGTGATCCGCGCTGTCAGCTGCGACTCCGCGATGCCCTCGCGCCGCAGCGCCCGGCTCCCGCCACCCCAGCCGCGCGCGGGCTCCCAGACGCGTGGGGGGATACGGGGGGCTCCTAGCGGCGCTGGGACGGCTCAGGGCCGGGCGGGGCGGAGCGGGCGTCCCCCCCCCGGGGCCCGGCCAGTGGAAGGCGCGGGCAGCGGCGGCTCCGAGTGGCCGCTGCGGTGGGCTGTGCCACAGTCTCCTCCCTTTGGCCGGCCGCAGGTTGGTGGCAGGAGGAGGGGACCGCTGCGGGCGCGGGGAGGGGGTGCCGCACCGCCGGGGCCATGGCGGAGCCGGGAAGCCGCGAGCCCGACACCCGGGTAACTGCCGCGGCGTCGCGCTTGCGTTTCTGGAGGGAGAGGTTGCCCTTGGGTGTGTGCGGCGCGGGGCTTCCCGCGTGGCCTGCGCGGAGAAGGGGGCGCAGTCTGGGAGGGAAGGCGCGCCCAAGGTCTGCCCTAAGGGTGACTGACAGCGGCCCCGCCTGCAGGGCGAGGTGGTGGCCAGTGGCAGGTGGGGAAGTAGTGGTGCGGGAGGAGTTGGGGCAGGGGGAGACGGGGAGGGAGGGTGGCCTGGTGCCCCCAGAGAAGGTAGGAGGGAGGGCAGAATACTAATAGAGCCCTTCAGAGAGGCCAGGGCGACCAGGCCCCACTGACCCAGAGGGTTTAGAAAGAGAAACTGTCAACAGACTTGCTGGAGTGAAAGGAACTAACATTGTCAAGGCCTGTTTGGTGTGGCGCTTTGCTGAACACTCCCAAGGCGTGACTTAGTTCCCACAATAACCCCGCTGGGTAGGCCAGAAACTTATTTAAAGACTGACTGGAGAGAGTGGCAGAGCAAGTTTCCGGAGGACACAGTTGGAGTAGAGCTGGGCCTAATCGCAGCCTGAAGCCCAGTGGTAGTAGCTGCCTTTGTTTACCTAGCTCCTCCCTGAAGCCTCCTGCTTTTTTGAAATTGCCTTTGTTTTTAATTTAACGTACTTGATCGTAAATTTATATCACTTAATTTTTAACAATAGCTATTTAACAACCAGTTGGCAAAATTCCTGAAAATCTAACCATTGGCTCTTGCAAACTGGTAGGACCCGTTGCTCCTACTCAGAGTTTGCACTGGTTGATCTGGAATGCTTTCCTCATCCCCCTTTTTAAAAAATTGGTTTTGTTTTGATTCTTCTCACAGCAATCCTCCAAGCCTTATACTTCGGTCCCAGGAGGGACCAGGTTGGGGCAAGTCCTTAGGAGTGCCCAAAGTCCCCAGTGCCCTGGGGTCCCCTCTGACCTCAGTATAGCTGTGTACACCCCCCTGAGGTGGTAGTAGGTCCTGGGGTCCTTCACTCCAAAACACTCCCACAGTGATCCTGGCCCCCCATGCTCACAGGTACCTGGTCCCTTTCCTGGTCTGCCCCTTCCCAGAAGGGGCACAGCATCTGAGAGCCTCTGAGACCCAGCTCTGCTGCCTGCTATCCTTTGTGAGAACTGCCAGTCAAGCAAGGAGGGTGGGGCATGGTGGCCTCTGACCTCTGAAGTTCCACCCAGCCCTGAAATTCTAAGGTTCTTAGATTTGCTGCTGTCAGTTCAAGGGCTACTTGTGACAGTAATGGAAGAAATTATGGAATTTTATTAAAACATTTTTAATGATTATTAAGACCAGCCACATGTAATGCATTGGCTCCTCTCCACTCTATAAGAGGTGGGGGTGGAACCTCCATTATAAGGAACAGAAACTGCCCAGGGACCCTAACACACCCACCAACACATAGCCATTTAAATAAGAATGGGATTTGCACTAATTTCAGGGAGCTCTCTCATTCCCAAACCGGGGTTCTTTCCACTTTAAATGGATCCTCAAGAATTGGGGGGGGAGGGGCTTCAGCTGCCCCCAGCATTACCCAGGTGTGACATAGCGCACAGATACTGGGATCACCCCTTAGCCAATGCTCCCTTGATAGCATCTTCATCTATTGAGAAGGTCAAGATGAGGTTTTCTGGGGCCCTGAAAAGGTGAAATTCGTTTGGGCATTGACCTCCTCTAGGAACCTTCCCACCTTCTGCTCTCCCTCCAGCCTTAGGCAGAGTTCCCTTTGTTCTCACTCTGAACTCTAAACCATTCTCAATTACACTGGCTCTTGGGGCTCAGGACCTGTCTTTACCCCCAGGGCCTGGCAAAGTCAAGAGTTCCTCAGTGTCCAGCACAAGGCCAGACTGTGTGGGTGAAATGGTTTTCTAAAAGCCAGCTGTGATGAGACTGTAGAGGGTGGGGTAGACACTGAGTGTCACACTATGGATTCATTATTTCCTGATCATCACAGCCCCTGGGGCTTAGGAATTCCAGAGTCAGGAGTTGAATTCTGGCTTCAGATCCTGGGGCTGCCCCTGGACCAGTTCTGTGACCAAGGGCAAGGCCCTTACTCCTCTAACTGCCAGTTGCCCCATTCATAAAACTGGTGTCTTAATACCCACTCATGGCTATGTGCTTAACATGTGGGCTGGCCCCCAGGGGAACCCCACAAATGTATTCTGTACCTACCCCCTTCATCTTGCTGGCAGGACAGCCCGCTCTAATTAGAAAGATTGTACCTTGCACAGGGACCCAGCTGACCTGCAGCCTCCACTCCACATACCCACCATGTGTCCTGCCTCTGCCTGGCAGAAGGGGCCCATTTCTCTCATCTGCACAAAGGTACCTTGTGAATTGGTGGCTGCCCAGCACATAGGACTTAAGGGGACAGTCATCTACACTGAGAGGTGGGCTGGTGGCTTGCAGGTAGGGAGGGGAGAGAGGCCAAGTCACTGACAGAGAGTGCAGGCTGAGGGCAGAACCAGGCTTTGCTGTGCTCCCAGAACCTGTACTGCCCACGTTGCTGAGAAGTCTGTCTATAGTGAAGCCTGGTGCCACCAGGTGAAGTTTCTGTATTTCTGTGATCCTCAGTGTCCTTTTCCATGAAATGGTAACAATCCACCAAACCTCTTAAGGCTACTCATTCAACAAATAATGGAGAGTTCACTGTGTCAGGTATGGTAAGGATGCAATGGTACCCAGCGTGGACATTCCAGCTACTGTTCCCATAGGCAGCTCCTGTAAATACTTGAGGAGTGGATGAATTTCACCCTGACCTTGGTTGGTTGCAAATGAAGCAGAATTACGTCTTAGGGAGGGGCTGAGACTTTGCCCCCGTTTGTCTTCAAGTGCCCGCAGGCCTCCATGCACCTCCTCCCACCCAACCCAGCAAGTGGAGGTGAGGTACCGCCCAGTCCTCTCCAGGACGTCATGGTCATTGGTCACTGAGAGCTGTTTATTTACCCAAAGCCTGGCAGGGGGAGGCCCTTGTCGACCCACGTCTGTGCTTGGGTTCAGTGCCGCAGGTCTCTGGCTTCCCCTGCAGGCTCTGCCCTGTCCGTGCCCTCACCTTCCTCAAGGCCCTTCCCCAGCCCCAGCGGCGCGGGCGTCTCCAGCCCCAGGGCCGGTCTCATTGCCTCTATCCTGACTTCCTTCTTGTCGCGCAGGCCTGTAGCCCAAGTGTCACCGCCATGGCCCCACCGCAGCTCTTCCGCGCATTCGTGTCGGCGCAATGGGTGGCCGAGGCGCTGCGGGCTCCGCGCGCGGGACAGCCCTTGCAGCTGCTGGACGCCTCCTGGTACCTGCCCAAGCTGGGCCGTGACGCACGCCACGAGTTCGAGGAGCGCCACATCCCAGGCGCTGCCTTCTTCGACATCGACCAGTGCAGCGACCGCACGTCACCCTACGACCACATGCTGCCAGGCACCGAACACTTCGCCGAATACGCGGGCCGCTTGGGCGTGGGCGCAACCACGCACGTGGTGATCTACGACGCCAGCGACCAGGGCCTCTACTCTGCCCCGCGCGTCTGGTGGATGTTCCGCGCCTTCGGCCACTCAGCTGTGTCGCTGCTCGACGGCGGCCTCCGCCAATGGCTGCGCCAGGGCCTCCCGCTCAGCTCAGGCAAGAGCCACCCTGCACCCGCTGAGTTCCGCGCTAAGCTCGACCCCACCTTCGTCAAGACTTACGAGGACATCAAGGAGAACCTGGAATCCCGGCGCTTCCAGGTGGTGGACGCCCGCGCCGCTGGCAGGTTCCGCGGCATCGATCCGGAGCCCCGAGACGGTGAGAGCGCGAGGTGGAGCCAAGTGGACGGGGCTGGAGGCCGCCTAGGGTGCGGCGTGTGCCCAGGGCACTGCCATAGCCTTGCCCTTGCCTTTGAAGGACCCGCATAGGCCAGGGAAGGAGATTTGGTTTCTAGTCGCCTCACTCTGGTTCGCACTGGCTTTATTCCTAAAGCAGAGTAATAACACTGCCCCATCCCCTCCTGTGTTTAGGACGGTAACTGCTCCTAACTCATTGGGAACCCAGGGGACCTTGTGTAAGTGTGAAACCAGTACTATGTGTGTGTAGGTTCACTGTGGAATGATGAAGGGCCGGCCCCAGTGTGGGAAAAATCCCTTCAGGGTGCATCCTTGGCCCCTGAAGGTGGTGGAGTGAGGGAGAGGGGAGAGTGGAGGGACGTGAAATACAGCTGGCTGCTGCCCCAAGCTGGGACAGAGCCTTTCGCCTGTGGTCTGGATCTCCCCAGGCAAGAAGCCTGTGGGAAAACTCTGTGTAATGGTGCATGGGGTCCCACAAGGCAGTGTGGTTAATGGCCATGTTGGTGTGACCCTTTTGAAAATCCCATGAGGTAGGTCCTGTCATTGTACAGATGAACAAATGGAGTCTCAGCCAGGTCTCGGGAAGCAGCTGGGCCAGATTCAGACTCTGGAACCTGCACACAACTGTAGTGAACAAATCAGAACTTCCTAGCCCTCTCTCACACCTTCAAGGGTGCGAGGAACTGGCCACGTCCTCTGGGACACTATCTGAATGGCACTCCTCATGCCCCAGGTCGGGGTTGGAGCTTTTGTTCTATGCTTCTGGAGCCTTTGGGGCTCATACTGGTGGACCATAGTTTTGGATGGCCTGAGGGCCAAGGACTGTCCCTCTCCAGAGGTTTGGTGAATTCAGAAGGTCCTTGTTCAGAAGCAGTGTTAACATTACTCAAACCATCAGAAATGACTTACAGCCAACCATTTTTGAACCTACCTAGGTAGCAACTTTGTGTGCTCCAGCTTAATGAGGGCACCACCTTGATCCTATTGGGTCCCCCAGCTCAGCCCCAGGGGGTGGAACAACATAGGGCAGCTAGCGGGTGCAAACCAGAGCCCTGCCCCACTTGCTTGGCCATGTGACACTTGGCAGGTCACCTCATCTCTTCTATCTGTGTAAAATGGGAGCAGGAATACAGACACAAAGGATGCAGAAGTGTGTAAAGCCTTAGCTCTGAGCTTGCACACACATTCTTGCACTCAAGAAATGGAAGATGCTCAATGCGTACCTCAGTCATACTCATCTGTGAAATGGGAGATGATGGCACACGCCCAGCAGGCTTGTTGTCGAGATGAACTAAGTTCAGTGCTGCTGAATCAGTGCTGAATATCATTCACTGTCATCATCATTCCCACTCCACAGCCTGAGGCCTGGCTAAATTCACCTGTAATTTGCCACGTCAGTCTAGCAGCTGGGGAAGCATGCTTGTGATAGCATTCAAGGTGCAGCGGTGACCCTGCTGTATAGATGCCACCGTGGCTTGAGAGCTTGCTCTTCTTCCTTGCTCTGGGCTGGTCTCTCTGTAATGTCTCTGAGCCCGGTTTCTGCACCTGTTAGGTGGGGATGACGACCCATCCCAGCCTCTCCTTGATCCCAGGAGTGTTGTCTGGGCACTTTGAAAATAGATACTAACAGGGACCAGCAGCTCCCCATTAGGCTCACCCCCCTGTGAAGGGAAACTGAGGCAGAAGCTGCCCTAGAGCCCCACCCTAAAGATGGAATGGCTCAAATCTGAACCATTAGCTGTGAGCATTTATTTTGTTGCAAACCTCAATTCTTTCATAAAAATTGAAATATTAATAACACCTGCCTGATAGGGGTGGTGAAAACAGAATATGTGTTGGGAGCCTGGAGGTTTGCAGAGATGTGGTTGAGGTGACAATCCTCTTAATTCACAGTTCACTGGTTTTGCCTGCCCTCCTTTTCCCACCCCAATGGAAATGATCTTTTAAAAATGGAAGTCTGGTTTCCCTTGGTCAGGTCCGAGGCCCTCAGTCTCGCTCCAGATCAGGTTGTTCACACTCCCTCTCTGCTTCCTCTTGGGCACCTGGCTCCCCACTGTCCGAGTTTTCTCCATGGTGACCTTTAATTCCCCGACACCCCAGCAACATGTGGTTCCCTGCCCCCTGGAATTTCCTCTGCCTAGGCTGCTCGAGGCCCCCACTGCCCTGACCTGTTTACCCTACTCACCTGTCAGGGCTTTCTCAGAGACACTTGCTTCCCCCCCAGGCTCACCTGGCTTTAAATCCTCTCAGCTTGGGCAAGTTGGTCTTTTTTTTTGAGACAGAGCCTCAAGCTGTCCCCCTGGGTAGAGTGCCGTGGCATTATAGCTCACAGCAACCTCCAACTCCTGGGCTCAAGCGAGTCTCCTGCCTCCGCCTCCCAAGTAGCTGGGACCACAGGCGCCCGCCACAACGCCCGGCTATTTTTTTGTTGCAGCCGTCATTGTTGTTTTGGCGGGTCTGGGCTGGGGATTCGAATCCGCCACCTTAGGTGTACGTGGCTGGCACCTTAGCCCGTTGAGCTATAGGCGCCGAGCCGGGCAAGCTGGTCTTTATGCTTCATTTTCCTCATCTGTACAAAAGAGAGGCTAATTACTTCTTTTCCCTAAACTTTTGGGGTGGGTTAAAGGAGAAAATACAGCTAGGGGCTCTAAGCAGTGCCTAGCACCAAGTGAGCCTTCAGAGACAGCAGCTGTTGTTGCTACTGGTGTAATTTTTTATGCTGTGCCCCATGCCACCCAGTAGGGCCTTTTTGTATCACCCTTCCTACTTGTAATTATTCAGTTACTGTCTGTCTGCTCTGCCAGATCAAACTCCTTGCCTGCAAGTGAGGCAAGTCCTACCTATGCAGGGGGGCTTGTCTATTACTTTGCTGTCCCCAGGACACATAATTAGAAAATCTGGGGGGCCAAGCGTGATGGAGTCTGATTCTTAGGTTCAAACTTCAGCTAGCAAATTGCTAAATGCATTGGCCTGAGGTGGTGCTTAACCTCAGCATCACCACCTGTAAAATGGGAGTGAATCTGAATGGTGCCTGAGTTTTATGGTTGTGAGAATTAAATGAGTTGGTGCATATGGAGGGTTTAGCACCATGCTTTGGGAGGCTTTTGCTACCACAGGTGCCACAAACACGGGGTGCCATTCATACCATCCTCTGCTTGTTCCTTTCTTCCTGCCCCCTGCTGCAGGCATCGAACCTGGCCACATTCCCGGCACCATAAACATCCCCTTCACAGACTTCCTGACTGAGGAGGGCCTGGAGAAGAGCCCTGAAGAGATCCGTCGCCTGTTCCAGGAGAAGAAAGTGGACCTGTCCCAGCCACTGGTGGCCACATGTGGCTCTGGTGTCACAGCCTGCCATGTGGCCCTGGGGGCCTACCTCTGTGGCAAGCCCGATGTGCCCATCTATGATGGCTCCTGGGTAGAGTGGTACATGCGGGCCCAGCCTGAGGAGGTCATTTCTGAGGGCCGGGGGAAGACCCACTGAGGCTGGGCAGGACACAGGCCTGGTTGTTCTGACTCTGCTTTAACCAACAGAGTGTTTCTTTATCCAACTCAAGTGCCATTTGGGGTGACCTCCCAGAGGCCAGGAATTCCGTTGACTTGTGGGCTACCAGTGGAGCTGGGAGAGAAGGCAGAGGGCAGACACCATGGGGGAGGTCAGAAGTCCCCACCACCCCACACGGTGCTCAGCCGAAGCCCTGCCTCCTTTCTCTTTGGAGGAAATAAAAGAGCCAAGTACTAAATCCTTGTAGCTGTGGGGCCGCCTCAGTTTTCCTAAGGACCAGGGATTCCAGCCTGCCCAGCCCTGGTTGCTCTGGGGAGCCCAGGGGTCTTGGAGACCCTGTCTCTGCCTTTTAAACAATGCTAGGGGCTCAGAGGCCCCCCTTCCTGTGATTGGAATGGCCCCTAGCCAATGATTCCCCCTGAGGGTGTCTCCCTTCTGGCTTCTGGGTTATATTTAAGGTGAATTTTGCTATGACATGTCTGGGGTCCCACTAAAGCATCCTCTACCAGGTACATCTCATCTCAAGAGAGAGATAGGTCCAGAGCTTAACAGGAGGCCATCCTAGCCCAGCTAGGATGCTGTGGGGGAAGGGCTCAGTTTGGCTGAACTGAAGGAGAATCTGGTTCTAACTCTAGGAATTCACACTGGGGGAACAGTCTCTGGATCTTCCCAAGGTGGGTGCCCGAGGGAGTCTGGTTCTTTCCGTTTAGGGAGGACATCTTCCCACTTCCCAAGGGTGGGGCTGCATCCTTCTCCCTTGGGATTTATCCTTTGTGAGGAGGGGGACTTAGGTGCCTCAGGAGGACCCAGATCCCCCCTCAGGAGCCTCCTCATCTTTCTAGACCCCAGACACCGTCTCAGCAGCAGAGGGGCAGTGTCCTATCGGTTGGTCCTAGAAGTGACCTTATCTGGTAACTCTTTTGGTAACAAAGCCAGAAAGGGGCAGTGACTACCATCATACACACTGAGTTTAGGACAGCCCCAGGTCCAGGTTTCCTGACTCTGAAGTTACTCCTTCCACCTGACCTTGTGCCCCACCAACTTCCCTCTGATGCTGAGTCATTTCCCAAGCCCACCCGGTGGAGGGGGCTGTGGGAAGCAACAGCACAGTATCTTGATTTTACAAATAAGAGCTCTAAAGTGAGTCCCAACCTGAGATTCAGCCTCATCTATTAAATGCGAATAATATACACTTCAGAAGAAGGGGTTCAGACAGGAACATTTCCAAGAGCCCATTGCAGAGTCCTATTTTTCTAGAATAAGGTTCTTTCTCAACCTCAGCACTGCTGGGTTGAGAAAGCAGCATTTCTGGCCTCTGTCCACTAGATGCCAGTAGCACTGCTCAATTCCGACAACCAAAAATGTCTCCAGATGTGGCCCGATAACCCCAGGAGGCCAAAAATCACCCCCACTTGAGAACCACCGCTGTAGGGGCAAATAACACAGTTGACCACAGCAGTCAGAACAGTGTAGACAGGAAACCTGAACAGGAGGGGGCTTATCCTGAGGCCCTTGCCCTGGAGCTGAATTTAACAGTTGAGAAACTCCCTTTCTCCTGTTTAATCCCTGGAGTTTCTCTGCCCTTGGGAGAGGAACTTGTCTGCAAGCTCTGTGTGAGGTTCTGATCTGGTCTCCTGTCCCAGCACCCCACACAAACCTGCTTGACATTGGACATGCTGCTGAGTTCCTCTAGGCTTCAGTTTCTTCATCTTTAAAATGGGTACTGTATCACAGTCCCTTCCTGAGCAGCATGAGGATTAAATGAGAGAGTCCAGAGAAACTTTTCAGCTTGGTGCCCAGCACAGAGTAGTTGTGTATTACCATTATTTTCTGAAGGACTTTTTACTTATTCAGCATGTTGAGTGACACCTGTCCTTCTAGCAACAGATGAGAGAACTGTGTTCCTATCTTCATAAAGCTTCCACATCAGGAAGGAGAAACTGGTACTTTATGTCATACTTCCAGGGAGAAGGGAATACTGTGAAATGATCTATTTTACAACAGGTGAGAAAACAAGCAGAGAGGTTGAGTGGTTTGCCTAAGGCAGGCATCCTCAAACTATGGCCCGCAGGCCACATGCAGCCTGCCTAGGACATTTATCCAGCCCGTCCAGTATTTTTGCCGCCACTACCTGTCCTGCTTAGCAGCCGAGTCGTCCTGGGGCCCACAGTCCAGCCCTCCAATGGTCGGAGGGACAGTGAACTGGCCCCCTGTTTAAAAAGTTTGAGGGCTCGGCACCTGTGGCTCAAGTGGCTAAGGTGCCAGCCACATACACCTAAGGTGGCAGGTTCAAATCCAGCCCGGGCCCGCCAAACAACAATGACGGCGCCAACCAAAAAATAGCCGGGTGTTGTGGCGGGCACCTGTGGTCCCAGCTACTTGGGAGGCTGAGGCAGGAGACTCGCTTGAGCCCAGGAGTTGGAGGTTGCTGTGAGCTGTGAAGCCACGGCACTCTACCCAGGGGGATAGCTTGAGGCTCTGTCTCAAAAAAAAAAAAAAAAATTTTGAGGACCCCTGGCTTAAGGGCATACAGCTGGTTTGCGAGAGGCAAACTGGAGTTAGAATTCTTGCAGTAGGAGCTTCTCAGGGATCTGGCCTGGGCTGAGTTTCCAGATTTGGGGATCAAGGTGAGAATAGAAACAGGTGGCAGATGCATTCCCCCAGGGAAACCTTGAATGAACGTGTTGAGGCAAGGAGCTTTGGTTAGGTTCCCTTGCCCCACCTTAGTCCAGCCTCCCAGCAAGGAAACCAAGGCTCACCCCAGCTAGGGCTTTATCTTCTGGAAAGGTCCTTGATGGGTGTGGACAGGTTCTAAGGTGACTTGAGTAGAGGTGGGAGAAAGGAAGAGCTCCATAGGACGTTCAGTTTAACTTGGTAGGAGTTTGCTAGGAATGACGCAGATACTCACACCCACCCCTGCCAGCTCCATTCTGCCTCCCACCAGCCTGAACTCCCAGAATAATTAACCATTGGTTGCATCGTCCCAGCCTCTGGCAGCACCCGCTCCACCTACCCCTTGTGTTCGAGGCAGAAACTTGCAACACTGGGCAACAAGGATGAAGAAATGTTTGTCTACTTGGCAGATAAATATTTACTAAGCACCCCCTCTGTGTCAGGGACAGTTGGAAGTGCGTTTCCCAACCTTGTCTAACCAGCTGCTCTGGAATGTTTCCACTCCCTGGGTCATTGCCTTGAGGGACCATGGTCCAAAGCCACATCCACACAGTGAACTGAATAGTGGATCAATGTGGTGATGTGGCCCTTGGGCTCTGGGACAAGCTTTGCACCAGGCCCAGTTCTGCCTTCCTGCTAGGGCCCCAGTCTTCTCATCTGAGAAATGGGAGCAAACTCAGTTCTGCCACGCACCGAGTGGGTGTGCTGTCAGATAAGGTAAAGTTCAATGTAAGACACCACACCTACTGGAATAACCTTGGCTATGTACACACAATGGGGCTTTATTATCCTTAACTCATGGAGAATGAGTCATTTGGAGGAAGATGAAATGTTCGGGTTAGGTGAAAGTGTTACCATCTTAAGCACCAAACTTTTCAGCACATTAACCTATGGGGGGTGGAATGTGGTGTACTGGGCATACCTGGATTCCCAGTGGCTTTGTTTTATCCCTTTATTGCACAGTGATAACCTTCAGAGGCTGCTTGCCCCTAAGCTAAATGGCTGCAACCATTATGATTTTCTGTACTCAAGTCCTTGATACTCCCAACCATCCTCACTGGCTCCCCTTACAGTTTAATGTCTGCGTCCTTCAGAGGTCTCTTCGTCCTGCTTACAGGTGGGCTCATGCTCTCTGCATAAGGCCGTCCATTCCAGTGGCCAGACCACTGTGCAACTTGCACTCTCCTGAACCAGGTCCCTGTGTCACTGCCTGCTGGGCCCTTAACCTGCTCCTCTGCCCAGGTCCCAGTCTTAGTAGGCACCGCCCCCACCCAGACCTGGCAGCCAATGATCGGAGACTCCACCTCCATTAGCCACAGTTAGGCTGCACCCAGACTGGTAGAGTTCTGTGTCTTCCTGTCTTACTTCACTGCCTTGGTCCAGAAACCTACCCCCCCCACCCCGAGATACACACCAGTTCCAGTGCATTTGCTAGAGACAGGCCCTGAACCAGAGAGGGGGCACTGGCCTCGTGGGAAGGGGCAAGACCCTGGCAACACTGTGTGAGGGGTACCTGAGAGGTGAAAGAGAACAGAAGAAGGTGGAGGGGCTGTGTCCAGGTCTGAGAGGCACCTCCACATGGGCCACCAGTCCCTCTTATGAATTCCCTGGACTGTGCCTGCCTTGCTCCAGGTGGAGATGTAGTAGGAGACAGGTTCAAAGTGCAGCATCTGGAGCACCCCAACTTCTCCCTGGCTCGGACCTCAGTTTTCACACCTGCGACATGAGTGTAATCCGCTTCATAGGGTTGCTGTGAAGATGAAATGGTTCGGTCATACAAGGCACTGCGAATGGAAGCTGGCACAGTGAGCACCAAATAAATGTTCGGAGTATTACTATTACTGGTATTCTGTCCTGCACCTGCCCTTCCTGCCTCCTCTGGTTGGGCTGTGAGCTCCTTGAGGAGTAATACAAGTATATCTTATGCATTTCTCTTCCTGGCACCAGCATAGTGAGTGACATAGATGGGGTGTTAAGGCTCAAAACCAGACCCCCAAATACAGTGCTTGATAGGAAGCAGCCTCAAGGTCCCTCTGACCTCCCACCTCCTCCTGTTTCTCAGCCCTCTGTCTCTCCCAAAGCATAGGGTGAAGCTGTTCTCTGAAGTCCCTTTCCGTACCTATGACCTGCCAAAGAGGAATGTGATTGTCTTCCCTGAAATGTTATTAGCCAGAGAAGAGTAAAACTTGACTCACAGAGGAAGAGACTGAAAATTAAACACCCCACCTAGACCTCAGACAGATTTTGCCCCCAACTGTCATCTGCTCTCCATCCCATTCAATTTCCAAAGACAGTTATTTACTAGCCACTGTCTCTGTGTTAGGCCTATTAATTTCTCCCTAAAAATCACTGATTATCCCTCAAATTACCACACTTCCCCCATGAAGAAGGGTATGTAAGCACTTGTAGGTACCCCAGTAGGTTCATGCGCAATCACTAAAATAAACTTTGTATGCCTTTTCCCCCCATTTATCTGTCTTTTGTCAGTTGATTAGCAGCAAACTTTCAAAGGATGAAGGGGAAGCTTTTCAATTTCTCTTCAGGGGCCAATGGATGTTTGGCATACATCATCAGGGCTGCCAGAGGCCTTAATAATCTTTCCTGTCTACTGAGTGCTTTCCATGTGGTGGGGGATGCTAAGTGCTTTGCCTCCATTTACTCTAACAACCCTGAGAAATAGGTGTTATTATCCTCCAATTTACAGGAAAGGGGGCATAGATAGGTCAGGTGAGTCACCCAAGTTCACAGGACAGGTTCTGGGGCTGGGCCTTGCATCCTGGAAAAATGACTACAGGTTTTCATCTGCTGCAGGACAGAACTGTGGAGGGGATCATAGAAGAGGGGACAGGCTTCTCTTGGGGGGTTAATAAGGCCCCCTACAAACACAAGCACACACAATGCATATACATGCACACGAACAAACACACATATGTTTGTAAACACTCTTTTGTATGTGGGCGAGGAATAAGGCAGCCAGAGGCTAATTTACTTGCCTAGCTAGATGTGCGTTCTTCCATGTGTGTCTCCAGGACTCTTGATCCCTTGGGGTGGGAGGCAAGGTAGGATCGTCAAACTTATGTGAACTGGAGTAGGAAGAGCCAGAGTCAGACCATTTACTCTACTAACCTCCATCTTTGGGAGTGTTAGATGCAGGGTAAAAGCAGGTAGGAGAATGGAGGCAGAGCCTTGGAGCACAGGTAGGAAGCAGGCAGGAGGCAGCAAGCCCAGGAGGCTGCAGCTTGCCTGGCCCAGCCATTGGGTACAGTGGGGATGGGTGTGTTGGACTGGCTGGCAGTTGAGAGTTGGGGCAACATATTGCAATAGAGAGTGAGACAGAGTATCAGTAGGGGAAGTCACATGTTTGCCTATCAAGGACAGTACAGTCCAAATAGTAGTTGCAATAACTGGGCTCAGTTATCATCACACTCACTTTTTTTTTTTTTTTTGAGACATAGTCTTACTTTGTTGCTCTTAGTAC